TACAACGAACTTGAATTCAACCTAATGATTGGTGCTAGGACACGGTATTTTTGAACGCTTAAACAAAAACTAATGGCGTCGTGCCTGCCTCTCGTTGCCAGTCCATGTAATAACTTGCTGTATCTAACAAATTTAGGGTCGTCTGCAAAATCATCAACTATGATTAAAATTGAATGTAGTTTCTTCATCTTCTGTTCTTTCATATAATGAATTATTATCTTTCTTTGCGTGTTAATTATTTCTTCCAGTTCTTCAGGTTGGTAGGTGTCATAATATAACTTTTCTTGTTCATCATCAACCTTCATATTATCTTTTTGATATTTCTTGACTTCAACGAAGGTAGGGTCATTATGAACAGACGGGCTAAAAATGAATATACGAGCGAAGCAGTCCCTATAAACATTTAGGATAAGGTTTTGGATTAAAACTGTTTTGCCAGCCGTTGATGAAGCAACAACAATTGAGCGAAAAGGTAGTTTTGGTACATGTTCATATTTGGATTGTTTGAATTCATAATCAGTTATGTTTATTGGTTTTATTATTGGAACGTTTGTCATAATTGATATTAAAGATATATAGAAAATTATATTTACAAATTAACTTGTAATTAATATTAAATGGAACATCTTTATGTTATGAGTGGTTGTGAATAACATAATGGAACAGGCTTTCCATTTATTCAATCAATAAGCATTGAAGCTAATTAGTTTGATGCATTGTAAGAAAACCCCAAGTGCTGTGCCCCACCAATATTCTATTATGCGTGAAAATAATAAGATTAAATAATTATTTCATCTTATTATTTAATATGAAAAGGAGTTATACAGATTATATTGATATAATAAATGAAGTACAACATATAGAAGATGTTGTTATAACCGATAATAAAATTAAGAAATGTTGTTATTATTCATTAGAATTAATTAAGCTAGGAATACAATATATCAACAATAAAAATGTAAATATTAATATAAATGCCAAAAAAGAAAAACAAAAAGAATAAGACAGGTTTAAGTGTTTCATCAACTGATGAAGAAATTGTTAAAGAAACATCAGTTATTGAGGTTGTTTGTCCTACATGTAAAAGAATGTTAGAACTTAAGAATGAATTACAAATACAAAAGAAAGGAAATTGTAAATGTTCGTGTATTCCAACAAGTTTCAAAATTAGTAAAAATGATAAGAAAATGAATATTGATAAAACTAAAGACAGTATCAACTTAGAAACAGATGTTCATAATATAGCTTTTAAATGGGGTAAGGATGCAGCACTCTCGGAAAATGGTGATAACGAAACGCAGGAAACTATTAACCAAATGATGAAAAATTAGTATTTAAAGAGTAGAATTAACATAATTTAAACATTTAGTTTTAAAAGTATAGTTGAATAATATAGTATATGGTTGAATTTTCAAGTTTAACACATTTACATTTTGGTGCACTTGAATTAGATAAACAAATTGGAGACAATAATTATAATGGTGTTAGTTATTATACTTGTAAGTGCGGATGTAAAATAGTCTTAACTCGTACTCAAACTAAAAAATATAACCTTTTATTACTTAGTGTTGGTCTTAGCTATGAATATTTATATCTAGACAAAGCGTTAGTATGTGGACATACTCAAAAAGATTTAGATAACATTGTTAGACTTATGGTAGAAGGCGAAGAATTTAAACATTTAAGTAACAGAGACCTTCGAAATTAAAATATTTAGTTTTAAAACTTTAGTTTTATAATATAGTATATATGGAAGGTGTGGATAAACTAATTTTGAAAATTGATGAAATAATGGAACAAAATAAACGCATTTATCAACTGTTAGAAAGTATGAAGAAACCAGCTTACAATAATACTAATAATTACCAACCAAAAGAAGTTGATAGAGAGAGCACTGAATACAAGAATAAACGAAATGTATATATTAAAAAACTTAATGAAAAAGTTATTAAAGAACCTAAACAATCAAGTCTGGATTTCTACCAAGTCAAGTATATTGAAGATACCAAGAAATATGTTTAATCATTAACTAACAAAATTTCGTGTCTCAGAAGTGGTTTGTTTATTCCTGCTACTCTGTAAGTTTTATTACCCATAATATCATATTCAATTTTATCAACATTGAATATTTTATTAGACCATTTAGAGTTATACTCTTTTCTGTCGGTGTAATTGCCCCTTTTCTTTTGAAACACTTTTATCTTATCGTTCTCCTGTATTCTGGGATACTTTCTTTTGTTCTTTTCTCGTAGTTTCAGATTGACCTTTACATTTATTTCATTGTCGTCCTTGTGTGCTTCGGTTGGTGTCATCCTTGTTGACGAGTGTAATGTGCTGTTATACTGTTTCAATGCTGGTGTTAAGGCATCGGTCCATTTCATATTATTAAACCTAGCTCTATCCTAATAAAACGTTTGGCTACATTTGCGTGTGTCTTCGTTATTGTGTGTTTGATACCTTCGCTGTTGAAGAAATCCTGAACTTGGTTTTTGGTTGCAAACGCTCCATCATCATCAGAATACACAGACATCGGGTAACCCATCTTTTTAAAACTTGCTCTAAGCGCCTTCAAAACGTGCTCTCCGTCTCTTTCCTCCATCGGAATTACATCTGCTAATTTACTGAAGATATCAATCACGACTAAAGCATACTGTGGAACATTCTTGTCTTTAGCTAAAGGTGACATATGCATTATGTCTATTTGATATTCATATCGTGCGAAGGGAGCGGTATAGGAATTAGTGCCTCGATAATTTTTGATTTGTTTATTTGGTTGTTTCTTTAAGAAAGACTTTACATCGTCTAATGTTATTGTTGGGTCTTCTTCCTTTGCCTTCTTGTGTGTTGCTTGTGTGCTTCCGAAACCATCGTCTAAATCATAATAGATGTTGCTGAGTATTTGGTGTTTTGTTAATCTCGCCATTATATTAAATTGTTAGAAACTATTTTTTTTCAATATAAACCCCCACCCCTTAACATAAAATAAAAACTACTTAAAGAAAAATGGATATAATATAGTAAGAGAAAAAATGACACTGTTTAATTATGATAATTGTCCTTGTAAAAATAAACAATGTAAGTCTGTCGTAGCACTAGCTAATATTTTACCTGTTAATGTTTGTAATCTTATAGGTGGCTATATTAGAGTAACATGTTTTGATTGCTGGTATTTGATGGATGAAGAAGAACATTTTATGAGAGATAAAGACATTCCTGAAGAAGGACTGGAAAAAGCAGAACTTCAATTACAAGTTATTAAACTAATGCAAAATAATGTTATTACACTACTAGCAGAAAACCAATATAGTATAAAAATAAGACATTACAGAAAACACATTGACCGAGTATTTGATAAACAAGAGGTTAAAGAAAGATTTAAGACTAGGAACATGTATCTTCAAGCAATGAAATCATACTGCTAAAATAATAATGAGGAAGTTACTGTACTTTTAAAACATTGTCTTAAAATTGAAGAATTAAAGTTTATCATAAATAGTGATTTGTTCTTTCCTAACCTAAACAATTGGTGGTCATATAGAAATAACAATTATTATATGAGATATATTCTTAGCGAATTAATTGACATTTACATAGACCAATTAATAAAAGGATACGGGCATTATTGTTGCGAGTATAGTATGAGTTGTTATATTGGTTGTATCGCTGGTGAGATTGAATACGGGTCAAATTAACTTTTGTTTATTAATATTATTATCTTATAATATGATTAAACATTGTTTTTATAATCTAACAAGAAGGTTAAGACAATTAAATTAAACCTGAAACCCAGACTGGTCAACCAGCGACCCCTAGCCAAAACTACTTAAAGAGAAAAAGCCTTATATATTAAGAGAAAAATGAGTAAGGGTAAAATGTCAGAGAATAATTTTATGTTTGAGAATTGTGCTAGCTTACCTGCTGATGTATTAAAAGGTATCATTTCATATAAATTAGGGGGACCTGAGTATTTGAAAATAAAACATAATCATATTAAGACATTAAAGAGAATACAACAACGATATAAAATAAACAGAACAGAAACAAAAAGAAAGACAAAGCGCTATACTGTTGAAGATGGCGATGATATAAAGAGACACGTAATTGAGTATTACATTTCAAGAAATATACCTTTAAGCATTAAAAGCATCGGAGATATAGTTTTTAATGAAAATGAAAACTTAGATTGTTTGTTAGATGACATTGAAACCGATAACGGTTATGAAGCAGTGATAATAGTTGAAGTAAATATGTTTGTAAGGTTTCATCATTTCAATTATTATGAAGACAACCATTTTAACACTTTTAGTTTTCATTTTCATAGTGATGATGTTGTAGATAATATAACCATAGATAATATAGCCGATGTAATGAGAGCGGCGCATCAAAAAATATACAGTTGTATTGATGATGAAAGAAGTAGAATGAATTTTGAAGGAGTACAAAACATAAGGTTTAAACTAATTGTTGATGAACCTGTGTAGTTCATAACTAAACCATAATTATATCATTTATATTCTTATATGTTATAATTATAGTGAACTTTTAATCTATAAACATTTCATTAAATGACAAACCACAACAACCTCCCAAAAGCCAACCCGTGAAACCACAGAAAGTCCTATCCTCTTTCAATCAATAAAACTAAAAGTTGAAATCTGGAACGAGACAGGGGACCAAATCATCAATTCGTTACCACATCCATATCGTTATATCATGCCCCCAAAATCAGCCTTTTAAAAACGGATAAGGTGGTACACGTGTTGAATTGTGAAATAAAAAACAGAACAGGCAACCATCTACCCCCCACCCCCTAGGACAAGCCTTTTCTACATTTTCCCCCCCCCCCCCCCCCCCCCCGCGCACAAATGCGGGCTGCGAGTAAGACAGGAGTTCGCTTGCGGCGAATCTTGCCTTTGTTGCATGGCCTTTTAGCATTTGGGCTTGCAGGCGAGTCACCATGCGAGCTATTGAGACGTGCGGAAGGGGCATCCAGCTTTGAGGCCTTCACGCAACTGGCGGCTGGCACGCAGATGGGTGCATACTACTTTCCCAACGTATTGCATCCTGGCCGAGTCCTTGCGACATTTTAGGTGGACGGAAAGACGCAAGCAAATGAGCGAGAGGTGAGACGAGGAATGCGGGAAACGGCGATGGAGGGAGAGTGACAGTGAGAGTGAGAGAGAGCGAGAGATAGAGAGGTAGAGAAAGTGATAGAGTGAAATGGAGAGTGAGAAATCATGGGGGAGTGAGGGAAGTGAGCAATGTAGTGAATAGGGTTCTGCTGAGGCATTCTATGTACACACTGCTGCTTTATGGCACCTTCCTAGACAATCTCGCGGACTTCTGCGATGGGGCCAGGCTCCCAGCAATGCTTATTTGTACAGATCCTGCTTTCTTCAGACTCCCAAAGGCTTCACTGCTGCTTTGATGTCCATTGGATGAACTGGCAAAACAACAGAACCGCAACTTCTTTTGCGCTTGTTTGCAGCACTGGGTGAGGGTCTGGCTTAGTTGCGAAGAACAGGCAAGCAAAAGGCTTTCGGATGTTCTTGCATGCATATGTGGCCTTTTTCTGTCAGTTTGGTTGAACATAGATGGCACTTGCAGGTTGGTTCTAATCATCTACCAGCGCCATCTATTTTACCCCAAGGACACCTGTAGCTGCATGCATTCAACATTTGCATTGTTTTGCACCTCACATACGGTGTTCAGGTGGCCAGGTCCTGTCTGGATGTGACACCTGGTTGGACCAGTCTGGCTATCTTGAACATACTGAAGACATCAGGACAGGACAGTTCGGAGGAATAGGCAACTTGAGAGGAAACAATCATCATGAGGAAACCAACCAACGTGCACAGCATTAAGCATTAGCTTAAAGAGGCTCTTGGCGGTAAGAAGGGGGTCATTTTGGATGACGTCTCGGTGAGAGGCACAGCTTGCATCTATCTTGAACAGGGCATGAAGCAGCGGGCCAACTGTAGTCCGCTACTTCGCGAAGGCAAACACGTCTTGCATCTCATTTTCCGGCTGTCAGCGAGTCCATTTTAGGCCCGTCGCCCTTTGAAGGGTGGTTGGCCTGGATGGAGCAGCTTTGCCACTGTAGACCTGGCTCGGGCACCGGGAAGCGTAAACCTTCCCGCCCTCCCGCAATGTTGGCCAGGCACTGTGGAAGCTCAAAGTCAGTCTCAAGAGAAACCTCTGTTTGAAGACAAACAAAATACAAGTTCCACATGGAACTTGGGAGTATGAACACCATCGGTATCGTGCTGCTCAGGATGTTGAGCCGATGCAAGTCCTAGGGCTTCACTTGAATAGTCTGAATAGTGTTGATTTCAAGCATGCTTACGTAAGTGGACCTTGGTGAGCTCACCATGGGTGGTTGGCTTGCCGAACAGACATTTGTCTGTCCTCAGGTTGCGGCAGAGAGTTCCCTCTGCCTGGCTCTGGTCTTTGTCTTCGTTCTCCTCTCTGCCTGCACTGCCGCTTTGAGCCAGGAAATGGAGGTCAGGCATGGCTTTCAACGGCAGTTCAAGGATCTTGAAGTTGTTCCACCCTTTCATATGTTTGAAGCGCTCACCTGAAGCCATGGCAAGAGGGAGTGAGGGAGTTCAGCAGACCCGCTGAAAAAGAACCGCTCACAAAACCTTCCAACTTCGAATATCTTTGGCGCACAGTCACAATTATTTTGTGCACAACTTGACAGTTTCACTGATGCCCATTAAACTTTGGACATGCAGCCCTGAGTCCGCTTCCTTGCTAAAACTGATCTGCTGTATGTAGGCATCATGCCCCTTTGCTGCTTGGTAGAGTCCGCTTTGTGCACCTTGATTACCAACAGGGGAAGCTCTTTCTTTTGGCACAGGACTGAGCATCAGGCGCAAACCACATGTGATTTGCCTCCCCCACACACACTATGCCGATGTCGTGAGGTCCTCAACATGCTGATCGGTATCCTTTGCGAGGTTGTCAGTGCAGTCACTGCTGCTGCGGACTCAGATCTTCGACACTGCTTGTAAAAATTGTAGCCGAGCTTCTGTCCCTCCAAGAGCAGCCCACGGAGCCCCCCAATTTGCAAAGACACTGGAATGCTTGTCTATTGGCTTTGAAGCCTTGCGCGCAAAGACGCGATGTGTTGAGACGTGCCTCGGATGGGCATGCAGAGAGCGTTCATGCGCATCAAGTATCATGTGCATTGTTGCTGCTGGAATGCGGTTCCGAACACGTGTCCACGCAGTCCCTGTAGCTTGTCGCAGTGAGTGCTCCATGTTGTAGTGTTGCTTTAATCTTGCTGTTCCGAGGTTGAGAAGGAAGAGATGACGGTGTGACTTGAATGTATTGCCGGCTTTTGAGAAGGGCAGAGGCACAGGCATCAGACATATCACCGAAAGGCAAAAGCTATCAGGTCACCAGATCGCTCAAACAAATACCGATCTATACTCTTAGTGACACGTTGGCAAATTTCAGCGGCTACGTGGGGTTCCTTCTTAGTATATGTGGCCCGAGTGCAAACATCCAGAATCGTTAAATCAAGCCTTCATCAGGCCCGCTGTCTTTAAATGCATGCAAATGCAAATCGCACAGCATGCCGAGGCTGTTTGTGACCAACAAGCTCCAGCGGGTGCTCAAGAAGCTGGACAAAAACAACGACGGGCACCTGTGCAAGGCACAGTATGCGCAGATCTTTCAACAGTGGTTTTGCAATCCATTCCAGACGTTTGGGCAGACTGCCGTGCAAGCCCGACAGAGGCAAGCAACTCTGTCTCCTTTTTGGGTCTCCGGTCCCGTCACCAAGCATGACACTTGTCACCCAACTCTGATGTCATAGATTTTTTGTAGTCTTATCTCTTCGCTGATCTCAGTCCTGAAGTGCGTTGGGCACGCGAGTGCAGTCTGTTTTTGTGGCTAGGATGAGTTCATGAAGATCCTTGAAGAGCCAGAGGCGGCACGAGCACTTGAGGAGGTTGGCGTGGATCCTGTGAGTGTGGCGGCTTGGCGATAGCTGCTTCCAAAGGCGAGTAGCCTCGTACATGGCCATGTGTGGGCAGGCTATCTTCAGCTCATGCCTGCTACAAAGTTGTCATTCCTCAAAGCAGCTAACCAATCATGAGGTCGACTTCGCTGACTTCATCTTCGGACAAGACGACGAAGAAGGCGGGATGGCGGCCCCGGCATAAAGGGATGCTTTCCATGGGTTTCAAAGTGACACTTTTGGCAGTCGGGCGAGCATCATCTACGCTACCCCTGTTGTGTTTCTGTGATGCACAGGCAGCGAGAACTTGTCCTTCAGCAAGTTCATGGAGATTCTCCTGACTCTGCGACAGGACAACAAAGCCACCATCAGATTCTCAGACATCAGATGGTTGCAGTGGCGAAGGCACTCCACAAACCCTTGATTTGTCTTATGCATCTAGCTGACCTATTGAACGACTCGCTTGAAGCTGTGCCGCGTGGTGGAACTCTGCTCAAATTCAAGCCTGGCTTACAAGCCCGGGAAAGCTAGGATGCGTTCCTTTGTGGTAAACTTTAGAGCCTCCGGCTCAGTCCGCCGACATTGTCCTCTCCCTTTTCTCCTTCTTCCTCTCTCCCTTCTCTCCATCATATTTTCTGTCGTCCTCTCTCCCTCCCTCTGCTCCCCATCCTCCCCATCCCCCCAAGCCTCTCTCTCCTCAATCTCCCTCTCTCTCGCTCTCCGTCTCTCTGTCTCTCTCTCTCTCTCTCTCTCCCTCCCTCTCTCTCTCTCTCTCTCTCTCTCTCTCTCTCTCTCTCTCTTTGTTTCTCTGTCTCTTTCTGTCTCCCTGTCTCCTTCCTGTCCACGCCCCTCTACAGAAAAAAGGGTACCGCAATTCTAACCTCTCTACTGGAGGACCTAGTCTCTCTCTCTCTCTCTCTCTCTCTCTCTCTCTCTTTCTCGCTCTTTCTCTCTGTCTCTCTCTCTGTCTGTCTTTCTGTGTCTCTTTCTCTGTCTCTTTCTCTGACTCTGCTCTGTCGCTGTCTCTCTCTCTCTCTGTCTCGCTCTCTGTGTCTCTCTCTCTCTCTCTCTCCCTCTCTCTCTCTCCCGCTCTCTCCCTGTCTCTCTCTCTCTCTCTCTCTGCATTGCAGCGTCACGTCCCCCCTGAGTTGCCTCAATGTGCGGGCACTGCCCCTTCATGACCCTGAACTGTCATCTCACTACTGGCTTTCCCCTTGATTTCCCCTTCATGTCCTTTTCACGTTTCCCATGATGTCCTGGTCATGTCCCTTCCATTCCTTTCAACTCCCCCTTCATGTCCTGTCATTTTCTCGGAATGTCCGCTTCATTTTTTACATGTATGTCCCGTTCTTTCGTTGCGCGTCATTTCCCTACATCTCCCGTCGTGCCGATTGGTTTCCTTGTGCTTTGTTTCCCTTTCATTCTCCCTGCACTCCCCTTGTTTTCATTGCTGTCCCTTTCATGCCCCTTTCAGTTCCCCTTTGTTTCCCTTTCATTTCCCGTTGCTTTCCTGTCATGTCGACTTCCTATTTCCTCCCCTCATTTCCTTGCACTTTCTTGCATTTTTCCTTTGTTCCTCAGTATTTCCCGCAAATTATCACCGTTTTTCCAGCGTTTTTGCAAAGGGGACGTCGAAAAACACAGAGTCTTTCCAGATTTTCGGCAAAAGGAGGTAGGAAACCCAAACCAGCAAAGAGCCGGCAGGGGGATTCGAGCCTGGGACCCCTGTTTTGCGACGGAACGTCATCAAATTACCGCGCGGTACGTGGGGGACCCCCCCTGTGTTCTGTTTTTCAGACCATTGATCTCCCGCAACATTTGACTCAAGGGCCCCTTTTGCATAATCACGACCATCCGAGCGTGAGGACAAAAGAGCCATTGCAGGCCGCTTAGAGGATTATCCATCAGACAATCCACCAGGGATAATCCATCCCCCAACCATCCATTACTGGCATATTGGACTCTCTCCGGAATAGATCCAGGGACCAACAACGACCGTTCCAGTTCCCTCCGGGGATAGGCACCTGGGGCAGTGGGCCTCAACTTGTGGTAGCGGAGCGGGTTTTCCGCAGAGATCCAAGGGAAGATGTCATCAGATGGAGAAGGCTTCATGGAAGCCTATACAAGTTCGGCAAAGCCGAGCTACACGGAGGAAACACTTAATTTATCGATGACCGCCAAGCAGCCGCCATCGTACGACGGAAAAGTCAGCTGGTTCAGGTACGAGGAACTCGTGGACGACTGGGTGACTGTCACCACAGTAGAAGCAGCCAAGCGAGGTCCATTGCTTAAGAGCAGACTCACTGGAGATGCTTACATGTACAAGGCCGTCCTCCAAAATGACCTTTTGCAAGATCCTGATGAAGGAGTCAACTATTTCAAGAACACGCTGAAGAAGTACTTTTTGAAAGGTGCGACAAACGTGTATCTGTACAGACTCCTCAGTTTCTTCAATCACAGAAGGCAGAACCAAGAGTTCCTCATTTTAACCTCAAAATTCGAAATCCTTCTCATGAGATTGAAGGCAGCATGGATGGACCTAATGCCAATCCTTACGGCGCAGCCCCCATCATTCCGACAGTCCGCGCAGGACGCAAATGCAAGAACAATTGCTCGGCATCAGCAAGCAGCCGGTGTCCGAGCACCGCCTCCAGCCCTGCTCAATGAGGACGATCCGACAGTCCTCAGACAGTATATCCAAGGAATGCAGGACAGACAGCGGGACGCATTTCCCTTCGGGGATAAGCTCATTGCACAGTTTCTCATTATTCAAAGTGAATTGTCAGATCAGCAAAGATAAAGACTGACAAGTGCAATGTCGTTGAGAAACATCTCACTTGAGAACTATTCCTATGAGATGCTGAAGACGCATTACCATGAGCTCTTCATCACCACAAGGACATCGATCCAAGATCCATCCATCCGACCTCAAGGAGGCAGCCGAAGCAACACATTCTTCATCATCGAACAAGGTGAATACGAAGGAGAAGAAGGCTTCTGGGTTGAGGATGAAGAAGGACTTGAAGGATTCATGTCGAACAACGATGAAGAGACGTTCTGGGTCCTCGAGGAGAACGATGCGTTCATAGCAAGAAAAATGTCGGAGCGGAACTTCAAGTTCAAGAAAAGAAAAGGAAAAGGAAAATCAGGAAACAAGAAGGGCAGTCCCCAACGAGGTGGCTTCAAACCCTTCAGAAAAAGCGGTTCTGGCGGAAAGGCCAATATGGCCAACGAAAACTATGATCCCTACGACCAGGCATATTGGGGAAAAGGCAACGGAAAGAAGGGAAGAAAGGAAAATCAAAATTCCAGTATCCCTATGATGGAAACAAAGGTTATCCATCCTATGAAAGTGGCAAAGGAAAGAGCGGACAAGAAAAAGGAAAATCCAAGACGTTCGCAGCCACCGCAGAGAAGACGGAGGAGCAGCCCACCATCCAGCAGACTGCACCATCCATAGAGCCTACCTATGCCGGTTGGACAGACCAAGATTGGGATCAATCATGGACATGGAACGAACATGGCTGGTACTCATCCCATGAGACATCCAGCACAGGACAAGCGCTAATGGCATTCCATGATGCATGTGAGTATCCTGGGAAAAGGCCATCCACGAGAAGCTGATCCAATCAGATACAGTTTCAGAACACAATCTGTCCGTAACAACAAATCACAGCCTTTTGGCAACAAAGCTGATGGCGCCTGTCATCAACCCTCGGCGCAACCCGACCTATGCGATTCTGGACAACGGATGTACCAGATCTATGGGCAGCTGGCATGCAATCCAGCGTTTTACCCAGGCAATCGAAACAATGAAGGACATCATCTCCTACGAGTGCATCCCGGCCGAGACCAAGTTCACTTTTGCAAACGGAGAGACCGCCAGGGTAAATTGGACCCTGCATCTTCGATATCACACAACTCCTCCATGCAGTACAAACATCGACATCCTTGAACAAGGAACTGTACCGATCCTTCTCAGCATCAGCCAGATGCGGAACCTCTACATGACCATCGAGCACACACCTCAATGTGACAAGATCACACGCAAGGCCTTTGGCATGAACCGTCAAGAAGTTCCAGTATCCGGTACAGGACATGCGCTCGTCGACCTCGCTGGAGTTGCAAGAGTGAAGGCACATGGAGAAATTGCTCACAAGGGCCTCACCAACTATGTCTATGACGATGATAACAGCGTCAAATTTCCCTCCGGGGATCTCACCAGGAGCGAAACTGTTTGTGCAGCAAAATCATCCGAGACAAAGGAGGACCTAGCAGCTCCTAAGATCATTGGATCTCAAAAGCAGGACCATTGGATCCTTGACAAGAAGAACAAGCAGCTCATCCGTGTGCATATCACGCCCCGAAAGGCGCTGTTCACACCAAATGGAGCCAAGGAATGTCCAATCAATCCTGATCGCATCAGAACGTACCACGGAGATCATTGATGCATCCGCAGGTGGAGATCCAGACATTTTAGAAGACAATTGGAGACTTACATCCCAGGCAAACAAACCATTGATCAACCTGTGGATAGGTAAGACCATTTTTACCTTCTCGGACAGTTCGCTCAAGGATGAAGAAGCAGGTTCAGGATCGGCAGCAGACAGGATCATCGACAAGAGGGGCCAGTCGACTATTGAGCCAGATCCTTTCACACCATCCTCAGAAGAACCAACATCGCTTCCGCTTGCCCTAGGCAGAATCCACAAGCGATTGTCAAATCCAGAAGAACTGAAGAAACTCCACCTGCAGCATCATCACATGACGACAGATCAATTTCGATTTAGAACCCGAGCACTTCATTTGCCGAAATCAACATTCGATCTATTTGACAAGATCCGGAGTGAGTGCGAAGTTTGCCAAGTGGCGAAACATGCACCATCACGAAGCAAGACAAGCGGACTTCGAGCAGACACCTTTGGTGACATGACATTCATTGATCACTGTCAAGTTCCTCTTGGAACAGGAGAACACATCATTGTTTTTGTCATCCTGGATGGAGCAACAACATTGCTCACTGCAGAGGCAGTGACAACTACGCAAGAAGTCGAGAACATCACTGTCCTCAGGAACTATTTTGACCAGTACCACTTGCAGCCCAAATCAGTTGTCGCAGATCAAGCCTTCATGACAGATACATGGGAACATTTCTATCAGTCCCTTGACATCACTCCGATATTTCTGGGACCAAATACACCATGGCCAAATCGAGCTGAAGCAGCAGTTCGACTCCTGAAGGCACTACTCAAGATCATGCTGAGATCCATCAAAGCAGGCACTGCGCCTGCAACACTGAAGAAAGTGACCTATAGGCAACTGGTGAAGGCCGCTGCAACTGTCAGGAATCAGACCGTCACCTACGGGGGAG